GTTATGAAGGGAGCGAGCTATTTGATGTCAGGTAACAGCCAAAACGGCCGTTATGCGGTTACTACGAATAGTAAAGCTGCACTTTACAGGTCAATTTGCCGTTGTTCAAAGTAATCTAATCCGCACGGAAACGGGGTGCATCTCCTGGTTTGTGATGCCACGTCAACGCTGCTTAAATTTTATCATACGTTTAAGAATCTGAGCTTCGTTATAATGTCATTATCACGTGTCAAAAATATCATACAAATCTTATTCAATATGTAATTTTGTTTAATATAATGTTTAATTTAATTAATGTCTTATTAAAACCATAAATCTCGCACCTAATTTAATTATTAATATTTGTTGGTCGTTTGAGTAACTCGATTTCGGTGTGTAACGGGATTTACATAATAAAAAAATTACAATACCTGCAAATGTGTGTAATAAAGCAACTTAATTAATGGAAAATTTACGGCTTAATTTACGATCTCGCTTTCGCCTCTTATTGTTTCCGTTAAAATCTTAATACTAGATATTTGTGCAAATACATGGATTTTATAGACGTTCAACAAATCCTTTTGGCGTAATCATTCATTTACTTTCAAACAGTTAACGGTTTGAATTGAGTGTTACTGTGATACTCGATTAATTAAGCGTATTCAAACTGCTTTAGAATTTTGCTCAAAATAAGCTTTCATCTTTCAACAACCACGTTTGTTCTAAGATTGTCAGAGGCGATGTTGCCTTCCTGACGAACTACCCTAGCTGAAGAGACCAATCGAAGTCGAAACAAGCGACACCAAAATTGTAATCTGTTATGTTTCCCGAATGATGCTTTCTGAACGCTGTCTTTTTGAGACATAAAGTGTTTTGCTTGCCAAATCTTTGTTAAAAGATGTTTTTTGACTTTGAACTTTAGTTCTTTGATAAAGCCGAAGCATCATAAAATGACCAGTTTCAGGTTCAAGCGACCTCGACATAATTAATTAAAAGATCTATAACTCCACTTAATAAAAGCAAAGCTGCTTGTGATTGAGGCACCAGTATATGATGACCAATTTGATCATCCCTGAATAAAATTTCTGTTTTGCAAATATTCTCTTAACCCCACAAACAAAATTTGAACTTTATTTCTACATCTCTCGGTTCAGGAGTATGTAGAAATGTCGGTTTAATTTTATTCTGTGTTTTGATGCACTACACGTAATTACCACCAACACTTTGTCCTAATGAAATCGAAATATGTATATTATCAAAGTCGTATAATAAATACAAATTTGATGGACGTGTTCCTGTTTTATATGGTGTTACTATCTCTGTTTCTATGCTTTAAACACCAACTAATCAGTGTTATTACGAATATATCGATTTTGCTTAGTTATCAAAACTAAACTACACAATTCCAATTCCAAACTTCTGCCGAAATTCCAAGCTTACGACATTCTACCGATAAAGCCAAAGCTTTTAGACTACTCGATCGAACCTGCTTGCTTTTAGTTCCAAAGGGCATTGCAAATTACAGCGTACCCTATTTAGTGTTTCATAGCGAAGGAATTGTAATAAGTAATTATAAGATATTTTGAAGTTTTATTAGTTTTTGAGTTCAAATATTGATTCCACTTTGCGGAAGCAATTTTCTAAAAGTGTGAAATAGTATTATAAAGTTTCGGGTTTAGCCATATGAAGATCATTTCAAATTTTTTTCCTTTTTGACCTATATACAACTAGTTCAGTAAATTGTGATGTCAGAGGGAGAGTGCAGGAAGGGAATATTGCAGTGAATAATTGCCGTTACGCCAAGTAAACGGAAGTCACGAATTCAGTAGGACTTATTCCAGAGTTTGAGTTCAGACTAATCCGGGTTCTGAGTATGAGTATACCGCCGTAAGGGAATTAATGCTATATGAGGTAATTAATAATGTAAGAAAATTGCTATTTTCTTTTCTATTCTTGTTAGTATAATACGAATGGAGGTAAACTTTACGTTTACGTCGTTATAAAGTTTTACGATTCAGCTAAAAGTTGCAGGACCACACACAGTTATGCAAAAATCTCAAGTTTTTAAAGTTAAATACGTAGGTACTAAAAACTTTCTACGTGAATACTTTACAACGCACGGAATATGTTAGTTTTGTATGTTTACTAACGTAAATGTAAATTATTTTAATTGGTACTTTGTTTGTTTTTTTAACGTGAAAACAAAATTCGCTGAATAGGTTTAATGTTTGTTTAAATTATGATTAAACTAATAAATTTGAAATTGAAATTAATTTGGCACGTCAGGTCACGTATTCTTGCGGTAACGACCAGCTTTAAATGTATTTCCCAAAGGCAATCCTCTACGCGCACATTAAGTTGAATCGCCGTTTATGGGATGCACGTCACGGTGCTTAAACGTAATTTCTCCAAAGGATTGAATTTCAGAATGAGTACACGAACTGCTTCATAACTGGATACGCTATCGTGAATTTGCACGCGCACTTTCAGCGCTTTGTAATTTCTGCATTTCCAACCGATCGCCTTAGGGTACATTTGTAATAATTGAGGTGTAAATAAATAATATTATTTAAGATTAATAAAAAAGGGGAAAATTTACTGGAATAACCCTTCATCGCTTGTCAACCATTTACAGCTCAATTATTTACAGTAAGCGTAAGCAAAAGCAGCTTAAGGTATTAAAGCTTCGTAGCGTTTTTGGCAGGGTTTGATAATTTAGTCGGTTGTCTGGCGGAACGATTTACATTTTGTATGAGGGACGGACCTAAAAGGTCATCTGAAGTTGGATTGGGACGAAGAGAGGATTTTCAGTAACAGTTTAGTAAGAAAAAATGGAAGGATCGAACGATTTTGAACTGTATGGCATTTAATCTATATTCGCGATAGAAAGCTTTCCCCAATGCGATAAAGAGCTTATGGACTTGAAACTCTTATTTACGACTAAATCATAAATCACATTTAGGAAACCTTTAATGGTAAACCTATCCGCACTTTTTTTACCCAATTTATTACCCCAACATTGAATGTCTTTCTGTTTAAGACTTGTCATAAATAATTTTTATTACTTTTAAACCAATTCTATAAAAATTGATTATTATACTTTAAAATGAAATTATATTATGAATTTTCAAGGTGGTGTTGGAACAAAGATCAATTATCGCGTTTAATTAGAAATCCTACTGTCAGATGGTGAATTTATGAGACAGAAAGACAGTTGATGGTAACCACAAAATCCCGATTAAACCGAAGATTACCAAGGATTGTTGATCGCAATGTCGAGGTGATGAATTTACCGACGGCAAGAATTAAATGAAACAAATAGTTGATGTCAAGATTTCGGAGGCCAAAATAAATCAAGATGAGTTGGTGGTCGTCTACTTGCGGTAGATTTATCGGAAAATAAGTAACAAGCACGGGGCTAATTAGGAAGTTTGCGAACGCGGAAACTCGTCCTCCGGGGAATATGAAGGCGCAGGGAAAATATTTGTTGTGCGCCGAAAGACAAACTTTGTTGCAGAAATTCCCTCGTGTATACTCCATCGGAACTGTTGCAACGTTACTAACCAATTTTAAACGAAGTTATTTTAGAGACTGCGTTTAAATGAAATCTTTGCGCAACGAGGTTAAGTAAAACATTTAGTTTAGATAATAATAATAAATGTTTACTTTAGCGCAAGGATGAGGTTTTACATGTAAAAAACTAATTTATAACTTTATTTGTTAAAAAACTATTTATACTTCTAAGTTATGTAAAATATGTAAAAATAATGTATTTATTTGAATTGTTTGAAGTTACGTCGGTTCGAAAACATCTAAAAGTAGCTTCTAATAATGTTATTTCCAATTATATTTGCACGATTGTGAAGCATCTCACATTTATTTGAGCCTCTTTAGCACAATTTGTAAACTTTGAAAAAATTAGTTACATTGAGTTAAAATCCTTGGTCCAAACGTAATACTCAAGTATCTTCGATGCTACCTAGTATAAAGCTCCCTTTCGTGCTGCGGTTTTCGGGTAGCACAGACGATTTTGGTTACCCGAACATGTTGGGGTGTAACTTTCAAAAACTACTTTAAATTCCACGCAACGACCGGAATTTGCACAAAGCCTGCCGATGAAAGTTTTTATTTATACAGTTTATACATCGAAAAACTTTTAACGGCATCCTCATTAGAGATACATCATATGAAACTAGATATAAGTCGAAATTATGTAAGTGCCTACAAGAAAATAAATTTTTATAACTCTTCATTATTTATAACGTTTCAATTTTATAGTATCATCTTACCAATAAAATACTACATCGTAAATAGTGTAGAGTAAAAACTCGTTATAACGAATTAATACGGAGAAGGAAGTATTCGTTATAGCCAAAAGTTCGTTATATGAATCATTTTAATGCCAACAAATTCAGACATCTATATACACCATTGTGTGTAGTCTACATGGCTTTATATTTATACCAAGGATGGTGGAATGTAAGAGGACCGCTACATCAACAATTAAAACTAGAACTAACACTAGACCTAGAACTAGAAACATTCGGGTTTTGGCGTGCGTTTTCTTAGTCTAGTTTTACTTCAATAGAAATATACAACAACCTAGCGCTATCTAATGCTAATTAGCTCTATTTAGTACTGTCCCTAGAACGAACTCTAGACCTAGACCGAGAAACAGTCGGGTTTAGCCCTGCGTCTCTTAAGACTGCTAAACCCGAATGTTTCTAGTCCTAGGTCTAGTATTACTCCTGAAACAGAGACTAGAACTAACACTAGACCTAGAAAGTGCATCTGAAGACACGCAGCTAAACCCGAAACTTTCTAGTTCTAGGTCTAGTGTTAGTTCTAGTTTTGCTTCCCTAAATATATGTTGGAGGCAGATAACGAATTCGGCCCTTGGCCGATTTATTTAGACATATCGGCATATGTCTAAAGCTGTTAGGTCACATGACGAAAAAATGATACAATCGGGATCTGACCATATCAGTTTGAACACGTCCCGATATGTACATTTACACAATGCGCCGATCCGATCGGAACTACACATAACCTCTTTTGGGATGTTTATGAGGGACATCACTTACGTGCAGTGTGTTTATTAGTACGTTTTACTGTTTTTAGCAGTTACCGAAGTTATAAAGTTTTAAATATAAAGTGGTTGACTTTAAATATGGAAAGTGAAAAATATTTAGTTGAAAAACAAATTTTTGAAACTAAGCTTTTTAAATTAATTGAAAATAGTGGCGCTAATAATTTTACCACCGTACTAACTGTTGAGCATTATTTAAGTATTTTAAATCAAGTAAAGAACAGCATGTCAAAGAAAGAGACGAAGGAAAAACTAAGTTGTCAAGATTATAGGCGTTTGAATAGATTTGAAATTCTAAGAATTGGTGATAAAGAGAAAATTATTGCAAAACGAAAGAATGATGATGTGGTTTCTATAAGGTATTATTGCGATGTTACGGAGGTACACGGCATTTTAGAAAAAGTTCATAAAGATACTGGCCATAAAAGAAGATTAGGAATGGAAAAAGAAATTGCTAAGAAATATTGTAATATTCCCAGAAGTGTCATTGAAGAGTATTTGAAATTATGTGCTATGTGTCAATTAAAGAAAAAATCGAAGCAGAAAGGATTAGTAGTAAAACCAATAATTTCTACAGGATTTAATAAAAGGGGACAAATTGATCTTATTGATATGCAAACAGAACCGGATGGCCCTTATAAGTTTATCATGAATTACCAAGACCACCTCACAAAATTTGTGTTTTTAAAACCTCTAAAAACTAAAAAGGCAGAAGAAGTAGCATATAACTTGATGGATATTTTTTGCATAGTCGGGGCACCTTGCTTGCTTCATAGTGACAATGGCAGAGAATTTGTGAATCAAGTAATTACTAGCCTTGCAGATATGTTTCAAGCGAAAATAATTCATGGTAAACCACGTCATTCTCAAAGCCAAGGGTCCATCGAGAGAGCGAACCAAGATGTAAGAGACATTTTAATTACTTGGATGCAGGAAAATGAGACAACTAAGTGGGCAGAAGGTCTAAGATTTGTGCAATTAAAAAAGAATAGATCATTTCACCGAGGCATCCAACGTACTCCATACGAGGCTATGTTTGGCATCCCACTTGTTAATGGCTTAAAAGATTCAAATCTTCCGCTTGAAATTGTAGAGAAGTTACACGATGAGGACGACATTTATAGATTAGAAAGCAGTGTTGGTAGAAACATAGAACAGGTAGTATCTGAAAAATCAGATTCAGAATTTCAAAACAGTGATGGAGGAAATGAAAAAGATGTACAAGAAAGCTTTCCCATAAATTATTCCAAAAATGATGATGTTGAGGAAGAATTGTTGAGGTAACCTAAAAAAACGCAGAGAATTTACATTGCTTATTATTATTATTATATGTTTCATTTTAGGAACAACGAAATCCGATTAAAATCAATAAATCAACATCGATCTCATAGTATTGCATGTTTAAAAAAGCAAGCAACAGAAATGTTACAGCAAAGTTGTTCCAAATTCCCAAAAATTGAAATTGGGCAGAACGTTTTAGTTAAGATTCCTGATGTCGACAGAGGACGCTTAGCTCCTCGTAACATTTTGGCTGTTGTATTGTCCGAGAAAGATGATTTATACCAACTTGGTACATCAACTGGCGTCTTGGAAAAACTATATGCAAGGAATGAGTTCCAGGTATGTACTTAACTAATATTTTATATATTTAAACGGTAATAAGGTTTTTCTTTTCAGCCTTCTCAAACGAACTCATTGACATCTTCAGATGTACCCATCGAAAATAAACTCAGTTTGAGAACGGTGGCGGCAAAAGAATCAAATTCTTCCCAGGGGTTTGTAAGATGCAACTGTCGTAAACAGTGCAGTAATAAAAGGTGCAAATGCTTATTAAAGAACTTGAAATGTAACAGTAAATGTCATTCAAGTACTTCATGTCGCAATAAGTAATAAAATAAGTATTATGTTAGTTCCTACATTGCATTTGTTTCTCATATGACCAAAGCAACAATTAACATTTCGGGATATGTTTAACTGCTAAAAACAGTAAAACGTACTAATAAACACACTACACGTAAGTGATGTCCCCCATAAACATCCCAACAGAGGTTATGTGTAGTTCCGATCGGATCGGCGCATTGTGCAAATGTACATATCGGGACGTGTTCAAACTGATATGGTCAGATCCCGATTGTATCATTTTTTCGTCATGTGACCTAACAGCTTTAGACATATGCGGATATGTCTAAATAAATCGGCCACGGGCCGAATTCGTCATCTGCCTCCAACATATATACAACATAGCGATATCTAATGCTAAGTACCGATACCTAGCATTGTCACTAGACCTAACATTAGATCTAGAACTAGAAACCGAACTCCTTATCCATAGTCCATTCCAACGAGATCCGTTATATCTCGATTTTACTGTACTTCTAATAAATTCCATTTTTATTTTTAGGTATTATCGGATTTAAAAGAAATTAGTTTGAAAAATAATTAAATATACTTCAGTTGTGGTATCCTCTTTATTGCAGAAATGACGTGCATATTAATGACGTCAACTTATGAACCACTAAACAAAATTGCCGGACTAAAACGAGGTTGGCGCCATTCATTAAAAAGTTTGAGATCAGCCACGTTTTGCCGCTATCCTCGTAGAAGTTATTAAGAGTATATATCATTCATAATGAAGATTTTCGTGGCGGCATAATGGAAAGTTTTCCACCCTTCGTCCATTATGATTTAGAAAGCGGTGATATATTACTCGTTTGAGGAGAACCGAATGTAATACAAAGAACTCGATGTTTTTGATATTTTTTTATTTTGTATTAAAGTTTTGTTAAATACGTGAAAATGGTTCTCATAACTCCGGTAAGTTGTGAAACGAAAATACGTAAGACATATTTTTCGGACGTCATTTCCGCTAAAGTTGATATACGACCGAAACGTAATCTACGACTTAACGCCGTTTGCGCTTCGCTCGGATCATTCGAGACGGGCAAGAAGGCAGACAAAAAATTCAACGGAGAATTTACGAGGTTATAGCAGATATGGATGGGAGTTGGAGGGATACGAACGACACGTTCATTATGATATTTTTCACTGAAAGAAATTGAAGAGTCCGTCACGATCTTTAAGGTTGAGAAGGGTGTGCCTCCACTGCGTGTACGTGCCTCCATTAGCAATATATTAGGGTAGGTTCAAGAGAGCTGAGGGCTTCCCATACTTGTGGAAATAATACGAAGGTTGTATGCTTTAAGGGCTTCAAGGCCACAATGTGGTCCGTAACGTCTAAAGCATCCGCCCACTTCGGATCAAGTTTCCTCTGTTCTATCAAACCCTTCTCGGCCTACTATTATTATCTTTGAGAACCTGTTCATTACTTCATCTTGATATCAGTGTTAACTCCCTATTACCCAACTATCAAAAGTAATTTTTTACCAAAGCATAATTATCCATTTCAAATCCTACGATTTCAATTCTTCATTTAAGCAGAGTCGAAATATCAGGGGTGTTAATTATTAAAAGTTAAAGTGGTTCCATTGGCAAAAAGCCCACCGTCATGGTAAGCTGGCCGCATTCTCAATTAAAAATGTATCAGATAAAGTTTCCCATTTCACCCTCCTTTGTTTTTCCAGAAGCAAGGAAATTGCGAGTTTAATTACTTATTTCTCGAACAAATGCCCTTGTGTTTATGTTGCAACAGCAGATATACTGTTGAAATTAAAACTCTAACGCAGCGTTACGTTATTAACCCGTTTAATAGCTTGATTCAAAAACTTTAATATTTACCACTAAAAATATGACTCAATAAATAACTTATAAACGATATTATAGGAATCATCAATTTATACCAAACAAGCTTGAGTGAACTGAAGTGGAACTAATAAAATTCCAATGTCGCTGCTACTTTAAGACAAACACTTTGCCAATATTTCTATGTATTTTAGTATGAATGCCCGACGGGAGAATCTAGACCATTTTTGTTTACACTCGAATATCGTTGGGAAGTCGAGTGGAAGTCTGTTCGTACGTTATTTTTCAACCATAAATTTTATTTAAAATTTAAAAACATTGTATCAGACAATTAAATGGTGCTCTATGCACTCAACAAATAACCAAACGAACTATGCTGTCAGAAAACAAGGATGGAAGAATACCGATATCGTGTAGGAAATGGGAATATAGATTAGCACACTGGAAATTATACCACGAATGCAGTAACCATAGTTACGAAACTAGTATGCACTTGTATTATCCCACATAAAATGCAACATAGCTTAATAGTACAGGAATTGGGTAGCTTTGCGAAGGAAAAGTTTTGCTTGGAAAAGATAACGTCCTTATGATAACTCTGAGTTTCCTCAGACGCAGGGCAAAACCCGAAACTTTCTAGTTCTAGGTCTAGTGTTAGTTATAGTTTTACTCCAGCACTGTTACTATGTAGAACTAACACTATACCTAGAACTAGAATCATTTAGGTTTAGCCGTCTATAGAGACGTGCGGCTAAACCCAAATGATTCTAGTTCAAGGTATAGTGTTAGTTCTAGTTTTACACTTAAACTGTCAATAGAACTAACATTAGACCTCGAAACATTTAATTCTTGGTCTAGCGCTGCATAACAATTAAAACTAGAACTAACACTAGACCTCGATAAAAATATGCTGCTTTCTATGGAAATATATTTTTGTATAGAAGATGGCCAAGGAAAATGATAACCACCAAATAGAAGAAAATGGGAAAAACCAAGTCAGTAAGAGATATTCTGATAGATTTTTCTACTTAATTCCATGTCTAATTTGAAATTTGAAAGCACCCAGTGACGATTTACATTTATATTAAAAAAGTAGATAAATTAGTTAAATTACCAACGATTAAAGAAATTATTGGTAATCAAATATGGTAATCTAAATGAACGAATTGTTTCGATGCGATTAAACACTTTTACGTTAAACAGACAACCAATTAAATTAATGAAATAAGTTGATGGAATTAGAATTAAATCGATAACTAAATCTAACAAGTTTATTTAATTACAACAACGTGCAATATGAATTTGAAGAATACTATTTGTTTAGTTTAAACTTTAAAAGCGAACTTATTTGTAAAATAGTACAGTAAACGAATTAGTTTTAAATCTGATGAATGCGCAGCGGGAAAAGTTTTCTTCGATTCAGTTGCAAACAAAAACGAAGTCACCGAACTCGAAACTTCCAAGTCCATCGTAATCAAATACAGATGCCCATCTATAAATTGTACAGAATCCGGGAAATGTTGCTGGCACTAAACTAATCAGATTAAAGTTTTGAAATTCGTCTTTCTTAATTACGGTTTTCCCCCACAAATTTTATGAATAGAAAATCAACCTTGATGTTATATACACAATAAATAAAAAAGAATAAATACGTCTTATCTTATTTTATTTTTCAAAATAACTTTCCTAATCAATACTCCAATTTTACGGTTTGCCCTAAAATCCTATGTAATCCTTCGTCTCTGTCAATTGAACAAGAGTCTGGACGTGTTCTCATTTTATTTATGGCCTCTCCAATTTCCGATGTTCCTCTATTCCGTTCCGCGATCTAACACCATAGCTTAAAGTTAGAGCTACGCGCTCAGAAAGGTAATGTTTTAAAATTCAATATTATGTATATGGATGAGACGCATAGCGCCGATATTGACATCAGGAGTGACAACTCAAGAAGAAGGATTCATCTCTTCGTAAGCCACTTCATATCCGAATTTAATCTCGAGATTATTGGAAGCGAACGAACCATGTGAGTGGCGTACCCCTGTCAATGGAAATAAAAAAACTTTCTCTGGTGAAAAATTGGATAGGACCCAGACAATTGTGTCCTTACAATCCCTATCCTATTTGGTGTTTGGCGATTTTTCATCTTGTATGAGCTTCAGTGAGGATGTATTTTTTTCTTTTGGTTGATATATTAATTTTATCTATACTGAAGGAGTAAATAATGTTATTGTAATGAATAATATACTTCCACTCAGGCAAAACGAAACACGGCACAATTGATTTTTTTGTTTCACGATTAAATGAATTCTCCTTTGAATAATTTAGTGAAGAATGCTACTTACCCCTATATCCTTCGTATTGTAATTGGTAAACAAGGGCAGCAATAATCAATTATTGACGGTCATAGACTTGTCTCGCAGTCTCGATTGCATCGGCCATGGATAGGTGGGTATCACCTGTATAAGCCTGAATGGTTTCATGGTTTATTCAGGAAAAGTGTTACGTTGGGGCGAAGGTAAACTGCCTACACGTTTTCCGGCATTTAAAGCAGGCTGCTTCGATTTTCCAGTTATTCAGCCTTATACACGCTAAAAGTGGGTCCCTTGGGAGCTTTAAACTCACATTCACGTTTTTGGGGAAATTCAACCTCGTATAGTGTCAGGGTTTACAACACTATTGGAACATTTTAATGGGTAAATATAGGTATATCCGTATAGATATGGTATTTGTGAAGCGATACCCAGTTTAAAAGTCAATAAATAAACCGCTTAATATGCCAACTTTATATCCAGTAAATTCATATTGAATAAGCATAAAAATAACGAAATCAATGAAGTTATTCAAACATACTGTTGAATAAAATTAAATACAATTTTATTTACTCTACCTGTAATTTTTGTAAAACCTGTCGAGTTGGATATGTGATAACCGTTTCAAAATATAAATGAAAAGTGCTTAACTGATGTAAATTGTCAATTTCAGAGAGCGGCAGGTTTAACAGCAGGAATAACCGATTTCATCTCACGAATGAATTTATGTAATGATTGCTTTTCTAATTGATTACTTCGTTGAAACGTTGCTAACGACCGCCGCAATCCGATGGTCCAATTAATCTTTATGCAATAAAGAATTTATTGTTAGCTTAATTGAGAATTATTGTTATATTTTATTGTCTGCATTTTAAAACTTATTCTGATAATATTTTAGAACGTCACTCTCTATTTAAGTCTTCAAGAAAATCGAAACAGTTTCTTAAATTGAAATGGATTTTCATCTAAAAATTTACTTCATGCGATTTTCGACATTATGTCAGATCTAAACGAAGAAGTGTGGGATAAATTCCATGAATACATAATAAATAAACCCTTAGGTTACATCGCATTTTCTTTGTCTTGTCAGTAAAAATTCAATCACATTTTACTTCGCGTATGCCCAGTTTATTTTCTGCCACGGACTGCAATTTTCCCAACC